ACAATAGTCCTATTTACTATTTTTGTCCGTCCCAAAACAATAGTCTCATTTCTATAAATAATCATATCACTATAAAACTACCCTTGCTTTTTCATTATTATTACACAATTGACATTACTTTTTACACTAATACACTCATAAGGGCAAAAAAGTCTTTTACCCGTACCTTTTATTCATTACCAATATAATATCAATATTCCTTAAATCTCGTGCCAAACACAATCCAGACTATAGTTCTGGGACGGAGGGAGTATGTAATACCCAGTAGTTGCTCTAGAGCTAGACCAGCTCCCATGAATGTGCAGATGACGGCTCATCTAAGATTGAATAATTAAATAAATTGAATAGACTATTTATGTTAATAATGTGTACATTCTTTTTTCGGAAGTCTCTTAGTGTCGCGTGAGTAATGACAGAAGCGCGCTGAAAGGACTCGTGTTGACTTATGGGTCAGTCTATGATCCGGACATGCGCGACAAAATATTTCTAGCATTATATATCTCAATAAAATATATACAATATTAATCTCATTTTTTAATAATAAATTTATAAAAAATGAAGAGTTTTAAGTATAGAAAAAAAATATTTATTTATTAAGGAGAGACATAAAAATAAACGAGTTGTTGAGAATTTTGGCCGTTTGAGGCCTAACTCGACAAGTTTATCGATAATAAATAATTAGCTGACTCACTCCTTAGTCCGACCCACCGGATCGGCACAATCCTTTAATCCTAACCCAATCCGTTTGTCCAAACCCACATTACCCTAAACACAATTTGTTAGGTTGATGGTTTTGTTATAACCGTGAGTGACTTTGTTATAGTAAGTTAGTTTGATAGATATATTAGAGTTATATTAGTGTGGGTTTGGGAGAGAGTTGGTCTTATAGAGAGAGGTGAGGGCGAGATTAGAGATATAGGGAGAGGGACAGACTGTACTGACGGAGAAGAGAGAAACCGCGAGTCTTGGGGTTTTCCGATGAAGTCGAACCTTTCCGATGACCGATTCCGGTGGGTGTCGAGGATTGAAGTGACGAGCTGATCTCCACCTTAAGGACGTGATTAACTTGGGCCATTATGCACCATAGACTGAGCCGAAATCTCTCGTCCTTTCGCCGAGAAAGATAGATCGATGAAGATCGGTGTGAATTGGGAGTCGTCAGAAGGACCTCCTGCTCAGCGCCGCCGTTGTTCCTGTGGGGCCAACCGCGGGTCTGTCGTGAGTTTGCCGGAGGTGCGTTACCGGTTGCCGGAAGGACTGCTGCCGGAAAAGATAACCTGAGACGCCTTCATCCTGTTGGTTATCTACTAGATTGGAATTAAGAATCACACCAGAAAAATCGAGGCAAATTCTAGGAAGAAGGACAAGATGAACACTATGTTTTGTGTTTTTCTGAGATTCACCTTTTTTACGAATGAAAAATACAATAAATAGAAACAAATGTAAAATAAATATATCAAATAAAAACTGCTAGACATAAATGAAATTGTGAAAACGTGTCCACATTCAAACTCCTAATTATTTCTCAATCAATCCCATCATTTATGACCAAATAAATTCTCCTTGACCATATTCAAAATATTCAGAAAATATCAGAATTAATTCATCACCTGTCCTCGATCACCGCGGCTTGGATCTCAGAACCGAAACAGGAAGCCTTCTTTCCTAATTTTTTAAATTTCAGTCCTGCGTCGTGAATTAGAATTCCAAGTTAGGTTGTGTTTCTTCTCATTTCCAGAATTATCTTGATTAATGCGTTTAATTTTTCTTTTCGGTATTAATTTAATTTTAGTTTTATTCAAATTTTGCTTCCGTTATTAATTTATTATCGTATTTTTTAATACAAAATTTGTTCGATAAATCCAAAGATCCATGAATTACCGGAATTGGATATTTATCTAACACGGTCACCTTGTTCAACTCATGAAAATCAATACAAAATCTCCTTTCATCTTTCTTCTTTACCAATAGCACCGGACTCTGAAATTGGCTTAAATTCGGTGAATGACCCCTATTGTTAACCTATTCTTCACTATGCGCTCAATCTCTAGGAATAAATTCACAATACGAGTTTTTGAGTGGATCCTATTTATAGGAGGTTATAAATTTAATTTAATTAATTTATATTTGTTAAGTATATTTAAAATGAATAAATATATTAACAATAGAAAAATATCTATCTTTTATAAAACCAAAAAATAAAAAAAAGTCATATGTGACGGATCAGAGCGTATCACATTAACATCTTATTTTAATCAACATTAAAATAAAAACCTCACTTCAAAATAAAACGAAAATAAATGATGTATGCTGGATGTAGATATTGTTTTTAAAAAAAATAGATTATATAAATTTCATATAAATTAAAAATAAGAATACTCAAATAAAACAAATCATAATGGTGTGTTGGTTGTTTCTATTTTGAGTTAGTCTGATGGTTTGTGATTTCGATATATATATATATATATATATATTTACTTTTTAATTAAAATATATTATTTTATTGTACAAATTATAATTTAAAATATTATTTAAATAAAAATTTAGAAATTCAAATACAAACCTAATAATGATTTTAAATTTTGATTTAAATGATAATTGAATGCAATATTTTATAAAAAAAATTACTCCAATATATTTTATATGGAATTATAATAGGTGTGTTTGGTTTGTGTTTTAAAAAAATTAATACCATTTAATTTACATAATTTTTTTTAAAAATAAATTATATATATATTTTTTACAAAATAATATATCAAAATACTCTCTTCGTTTTAAGTTAATTGATTCATTTCATTATGGTCACAATATTTAAGATAATAATATTTAATTAGTTAATAATAATTAATTATGATATTATTTTATTATTTTTTATATAATAATAATTATTGATAGTCTTAAAATAAAATTAATATATATGACTCGAAAAATTAGAATATGTATTTAAATATTTTAAAAATTATATCGCAATAAAAATATTTGCAATATGAATATCAATTTGTAGAGAATAAATTTTTTATAATACAAGTATATCAAAAATACTTTTATTTATTTATAATTAACATAAACTAATTTTATAAAATAAGTGAAATTTTGATGTAGATAAAAATATTTATTTTTTAAAAAGATGTAAAATAAGATTTTGAGTAAATCCTGTATAATGTATTATGTTATATGTTATGTATTTAATTAAATTGATTTATATTTACTAAATATATTTTTATTTAATAAATTTTATTCAAAATAAAAAAAATATCAAATGTATCCATTGTTATAGAACATTGAAAGAAAATATTATTTAAAATAAAATTCTAATAAAAATCAAATTCTTTGCCCGCACGCTAAAAATAATATTCTTGAACAAGAACCTAACTTAATATATTCTTTTATATATATATATGTGATTTTTTTATCACATAAAAATAATCTTCTCCCTCCCTTTATGTAAAAAAAATACGTCCATTTAGTTTGAATATGAATTTTAATATTTAGTTTTTTTTTTTTGTTTTTACAGTAAAAAAAATAGAGAAGTTAGTTAAAAATAATAAAAATTAGTACTCTCTTCGTTCCAATACAATAATTTTGTTTACCATTTTTGTCCGTCCTAAAACAATAGTCTCATTTTTATAAATAATCATGTCACCGTAAAACCATCCCTATTTTTTCATTATTATTACACAAGTGTCATTACTTTTTACACTAATATATTCACAAAGATAAAAAAATTATTTATCTTTATTTTTTACCAACAACCAATATAATATCAATATTTTTTAAATCTCGTGCCCAATACAACAAGACTATATTTTTGGATGGAGGCGTATAACTTTTTACTAAAACGTATATTTCTTTATTCTTTTATTACGGACAAGTAAATTTATAATAGAAAAAGTAGAAAATATATTTGCACTTTACAATAAAATATTGTATTTATTTTTTTGAAAAGTAAAAAAACAATTTAAATAATCCATGAAAATAATAATAAAACAAATAAATACATTCATGATAATCGCGATTCATTCAAGTAATAAGCGTGTTTGCACTCTATTTCTATTCTTTTATATTATATTTTAATATAATTTTAATGCGTGGCATAAATTTTATGTAGGATAAACACACTATTTATATTTTATTATTTGCATTTTAGCAGTCGGATCAAATTGATCTACACCGTCCCATGTGGAATGGAGTGATATATATAGACACGAATGAGCCCTCATTTGTAATGACAAATTTTCTTCCACTGTCTCAACAAAAGTTTATAGATCTCCCAAATTTTTCAAATTTTATTATTTCAATTATGTATTTTGTAAAAAAAAAATAATATATTTTTCTTTGATAACATATTTCGGTAAATATTATTTTAATACCAAATTCAAACTAAAATTTTTCAAACTAAAAAAAACACACAAAAAAACTACACAGTTTGTGATATGTTTTCCCCACTCTCTTTTATTTTTATTATTCCATTTATCGGTTGGATTTAGATAATAAAAAATTTAAATTGAAATAATTGTATGATATGTTTTGAATGTAAAATTAATTTTTAATATAACATAAAAATAAAAAATAAATATTTAATTTGATATTTTTGAAAAAAATGAGATGAATCAAATCTCCCAAACAAACACACCCTACTAATGTGAAGAGAACAATCTTTTTCTGAAAATTGTTAAATCTTCTATCAAATTTTTGTAGATCATATGGTGAGACATCATTTGCTTGAAAATTAAGTTCCAGAGAAATTGCTAGGCAGCACGAAAAGTGTTGAAATAGTTAATAGGTCCGTGACAAAAGTCTATTTAATTAATTTGTGTTTAAATTTTAATTTAAATAATATTTTTATGTAATATTTTTAATTTGTTATTTAGATTTTAGTTTTGTATATTTTTTATAATCATGTTTAAAATTATTTATGTAAACACACATTATACATAAGTATAAATTCAACGGGGTCAGATAAAAATTAGTTATATTTCAATGGGCCAAAGGGAAATTTCGAAAGGATAGTATGTACTATGTTGTTAGCAGACGAAATCCTCAGCGTGGTAAATACCGCGCATTCTACCTTCACAATTCGAAATCGGCACCTTCCCTTGTCTCGATTCGCCACGAGCACGCCGTAATCTTTGAGGCAACGCCGGTAATCTCGAGCACGGTCGCTGGTGTTGTGTTTTCTCGCTTGATTTCGTATCGGTTTGCTTGGGACTGTTTTCCCTGCGCTCACAACGTTGCCCGCGTTTTTTGAGGTTTTTTATTCTATCGAGTTGTTGGATTTTGATTGTTGTATCTCCGATTTGATGGTTGTTTGAAATAAAGTGTAGCCCCAATTGAGAGTGCAATACAGGATTGATCGACATTGATGCCCTAATTTGATTTCCCCCAATTTTGTTAAACCCTAGCATATATTCTATTTGTTTCATCCTGACTTGGACTTTTTGAGACACGTGGAGTTTATTTCGGCTTATTCGATACGTATGCGTGTGCAATTGAAATCATTGTTGCGTTTATGCATGTGATCACTTCTCTTCGGAATGCATTGGCAACTTGAAAGCCCAAATCTTAATAGCCAAACTATAATATTCATTTATATTCTTAATTGCAGTTCCCAATCCCACTTAACCAGGTGGCACATTTATGTAAATTGGATTGCCAATGTTGATTATAACTATTTAATAGCATTACAACACTAATGTATAGAGCCACTTTTTATGTTATTGGTACTGTCTAATGGAGAAGAATGTTTAACACAGTGAGAAAGAGCTTTGAGACTTTTCCGTGTTGATTTGTTTGTAGGAGGGTAAGTTAGTAAATGGAAAACTCTGACCTGGCTCAAAGTTAAAATTTAGGCTAATTACAGTTGTCTGTGTACATTTGTCATTCGGATGTTTACCTTATCCTTTTGAGTGTTATTCTTTCAATTGCGCAACAATGAACTTTTCAATATATTGATTAATTAATTAAACTCGCATTTATAGTCTTTGCTTGTGTGTAATTTAATTTATTATTGTTATTATATTTTTATTTGCAGGTGCATTTGCTAGTTTGTATATTGCCCTCATGCGTGTGGCATTATTAATGATAATCTCTGTGCGCGTGTGTGTTGGAAACCAAGTTACATGTTTTGAAGTGCATAATACCATCTGAAGTAAGATGATACCTGGACAGTTACCCAATCAGACTGGGTCTATGATGTCCGGTATTCCTCAGCAAACCAGAACTTCTTTTGCGAGCTTGATGCAGAGTTATAACGTCCATCATAATATCTCGAGTATGGACCCTGAAATAGCTAAAATGCGCAGTTTCATGCAGGAACAGATGTAAGATTATTTCTTGTTTAATGATTGATTGTATAACATTACTTCAGTTTCCAAATAGTAAGAAATATTGCAAAGCAGCACATAATTCAATATGCAGACACTTGGTTTCTTTGCAGGTTGCATTTTACTTTTATTGGATTTGCTGAATGCCCATCTAGTGCCTGGATGTTTGATGGGCATCCGTTGCCTTTTTTTTTTTTAATTTCCTTTGGATGTTCAGATATCCAATCTTTAAGATTTGAAGGACTTTAGCAGCTTAGTTATTGGAGCATTAATTTTTTTTGTTGGTTTTGGAAAAAATTTCATCCCATTTTTGCGTTAAAGCGACCAAGGATAATAGCAGATTCCAGTCCTGATGTTTTGCTAAAATTTTTTTGATTAACTTCTTCACTGGTTTTATGCTTAGCAGTGCATCCTTCTCAGATACACTAGTTTCTCTTTTGCAGCTGGGAATTTCTTATGCAGCGGTGGCGACAATCACAGGAGGTCCCCGCAAGGAGAATGATTGATATAGTAAAACGCTTAGAAGCGGGTTTGTTCAGGACTGCCAAGACAAAGGTGGTTATTTTATACTTTTATTACATACTATGCAGAACACATGATTCTTTTACTACCTAGTTTCCAACCCATTTGAATGAAAATATGAAGGGTCGATTTGGAACAGTTTATGTTTGTGAAGAATAGTTTGGTCCCGTTAAATGTTTATAATCTCTTGCATTGTTGTTATCAGGAGGAGTATATGAACCTGGGAACATTGGAAAGTCGTGTGCAGCAGTTGATTAAACGCCCTCATACAAATAATCCTGGCCAGCAGTTTGCGCATGCTAATTCTTCTCCTATTGGTACAATGATTCCAACACCCGGATATCAGCAAGCAGAAACTTCAAGCTCGGTTGGGACTTCATCTGCTGGTGGTTCTTTGGTAGCTACTAATGGATCCAGTGCAGTTGCATCTTCCACTATCAATTGTGGGAGTTCTCTGCCCCCTCGAAATGGTTCTTCAGGGATTTTGAATGGTGATTCTTTCTCTTCATCTGATGGTAGCTTGATGGTTTGTTGACTTAGCATATTTCTCTTGCCTGACAAGTTATTAACTTTGCAGGAGGTATGGCTAGTGGATATCAACAATCATCGCATGTTTTCTCAGGCAACAATGGGGGAAATAATCCACTCACATCTGCAGGTGTACAGAAAATGGCAGGCAAAATGATCCCTACTCCTGGAATCAGTAATCCTACTAACAGTGAGAAAAGCAGTATTAATAAAAACGCCACTCACATGAACTTGGAGTCGCCAAATTGTGTTGGTGCATGTGCTGCTACTGAATCCACCAGGATACCTCACCCAACGAAGCAGCTTATTAGGGGCCAAAGTAGTCATAGTTCGCATACTGTTGGAACGCATATGGATGATGGAAACCGACCTGCATTACAGCAGAAGCCTCTTGGATTATCAAGTGGACCATCAAATGGAAAGTTGGGGATGTTGGGAAAAAGTATACCTGCGGCGAATGGACAAGGAACCAAGGAGAGGCATCTGGAAGGTACTGTGTCTGGGAGCATCTCCAAGCCCTTGCACCAACAGTTTGACCAACATCCACGATCTGCTCTGCGAGGTACTTTTGCTTTTTCCTACTGGGCCCACTCCCCTCTTTCTTCTCTATATGCATGCATATGTGACCTGTGTGACTCAGCACTGCACTGCTTACCCTGCATCTGCATGTTAATTTGGTCTTGTGGAATGTGGAGTCACTTGAAATTTGATGATAGATTCTGAACCAGTTATGGCCGATGACAGACAAGTGAAATCTTGACTTCTAATGGACTGCTTAAAATTGTATTTTTGCTGATTTTATTTATTTTTTTCTGACAGGTGATGGATGTGGTGGTGTTGCAGCTAATGTATCAGGGTCTAGAAACTTGTATGTACCTGTCACCTCTGTAGGATTAACTATGAACAACCAGAGGTTGACTCCATCAGCTGAATCCGTACCAAAAGGAAACCCTTCCATGACGTCAAACAATTTGCCACAACACCAGCAACAGCAGCAGCCATTGCATGAGCTCCAGAACAGGCAACTTGCTCAGCATCAGGTTGGACAAATCAAGCAAATGCCAAACAAGCTTCCAATAAGGAGTAACACTGTTGGTCCATCGCAGCAATCATCTGATACTTCTGAGGCAAAGTCTGGGTTTGGAAAACACCATCATGATGAAGGCCACTCTCGAGTCCCCCACTCTGATATGCAGAACCTGAATTGGCAGAACACTAAGGAAGAGCATTCGAGAGCTACTAATCTTTTGTCGCAGTCATCTGATCCAAAGAATGCTTACTTGCCACCATATCAAACTTCAGATCAGGTGCAGCAGTCCTTGCATCCCCAGCATGTTGTTGCTGCTAAAAGTAATTTTACTAGTCATACTGCTGGCCTCCAACCTGATGCAGCATTGCGTAGTCAGACGTATTCAAAGTCTCAAGATGCGTCTCATGGATCAGGATCATTACCATTTGAGCATAATGTGCAAGATGAATTTCATCAGCGATTATCTGGTCATGATGTGGCTCAACTAAATAATATGCCCTCAGAAGAATCAGTGATTGGTCGAAGTGACTCCTCTAGGTCGGCACCCCCAAAGACAAATGATATAGTACTCAGATATCAGAGATGGCTATTGTATCTAAAACATGGGCGGAAATGTTCAGTTCCAGAAGGGAAATGTCATACTCCCAACTGCACTACAGTCCAAAAGCTGTGGAAACATATGGAGCGGTGCAGTGTGCCTCAGTGTACATACCCCCGGTGTCGTCCTTCAAAGATTTTGATCAATCATCACTTGAAATGCCAGGATGGAAATTGCGTTGTCTGCATTCCTGTCAAAACCCTTGTACAGGAAAAAGCACTCGCACGTTCCCATTTAAATTCTGGATCAAGTAGTTCAGCATCAGCCAATATATCATCTAATGCTCCTGATAATACTGCTGGCATTGGGGAAAGGTCAACGCCAATGAAAATTCCGGTGATAGCTGAAACTCATGAAGATCTGCAGCCACCCCTTAAGCGCATGAAAATTGAACAGAGCTCCCAGCCTCTTGTTTCTGAGCATGATTCTCATGGTGTCTTGGCTTTTAGTGGAAAAGATTGCCATAATGAACAGCGCTGTGATCAAACTCCAATGGAATTGGAAGAGTCTGAAGTGAAAATGGAGGTTGATGCAAGTCCTGGTCAATTAAACTCCAATATCTGTGGAAATGAAATCAAAAGGGATTCCTTGGATGCTCCCTGTGTTCAAAGTCCTGACACTAATGCTGCTACACCGAACAATCTGAAGGGAGTTTCGGCTGCCAAGGTCATTAACACTGAGAAACAAACGGAGCAGTGTAAGCTGGAAAGCATTTCTGAACTTCCAGAGAATGCTTCCAAGTCTGGGAAAACAAAAATACAGGCAGTTTCAATGGTAGAATTGTTTACAATCGAACAAGTCCAGGAGCACATTATGAGTCTTAGACAGTGGATAGGCCAGGTCAGTCTCCCGACCATATAATTCTGTTTGATATAAGTCCTATGAATATTTCTCAGCATTACGTGTGGATTTCAATAGATGCAATGTTGATCATCTTAAAATGTCTTCATGAAATTCATTCATGGATTTGACATGCATTTAACCAGGAAATGCAGTTGGTTAATATATCTTTGGGTTTTCTCTAATTGCTTTCTGGTTGGAGGTATAGCTGATCCGTGTCTCTGATTTATTGTTCTTACTGCTAGTCACGGGTTTACTCGTATTTGTGTTTGCCTTTTCATTTGGTGAAGATTGGTTTGGTAAATGACATTTTCTGTTTTTTAATTTGTTCCATCAGTGTAATTAAGACATACTTCTGAATAAGCAAGATATACCATAACACAAGTGTCTTTATATGTCGTTCATCACCACCCCTACTAAAGTGTAAGTTCTGTTTTACAGAGCAAAGCAAAAGCTGAAAGAAATCAAGCTATGGGACATTCAATCAGTGAAAATTCTTGCCAGCTGTGTGGAGTTGAGAGGCTCGCATTTGAACCTCCCCCTATATATTGTACACCTTGTGGTGCACGGATTAAAAGGAATGCGATGTATTACACCTTTGGATCTGGTGAGACTCGCCACTGCTTGTGTAATCCTTGCTATAATGAGGCTCGTGGCGATATGGTTGTGATAGAAGGAGAAAAAATTGCAAAGGCAAGGTTGGATAAGAAGAAAAATGATGAGGAAACTGAAGAATGGGTATACCTTTGCTACATCATTTTATTCGTATGGCATTCAGATTAATCTTGTTTATTTGACTGTAAGGTTTTATATTTTACAGTGGGTTCAATGTGATGATTGTCAATCTTGGCAACATCAAATATGCGCATTATTCAATGGTAGAAGAAATGAAGGTGGACAAGCTCAGTACACTTGTCCAAAATGTTATATAGCTGAAGTTGAAAGTGGAAAACGCTTACCATTGCCACAGAATGCTGTTCTGGGAGCGAAAGATTTACCTACAACAAATTTGAGTGATCACTTGGAGCAGCGATTATTTTTGAAGCTGAAGCAAGACAGGCAGGACAGGGCAAGACTTCAAGGAAAAAGCTATGACGAGGTGATAGTATGAGATATATTTTCATATTTAACTTGATTTGTGTGCTGTTACTACTTGAATTGTTTATTATGTGTCTGGGAAGATGCAGGGAGCATATATAGATGTTATTGGACTTGCCTAAGCGTAGACACTAGAACCACACTCAATGACTCAGCTACTCCTGTTTAGTTAGCTAATATGGATTACTTCTCAAATCAGTAATTTTCAAACTTTATTTGTTAACCTTCCTCTAAGAAGCCAGTTGGGCTGTCGGTTGTCACCTGCTATGTTTTCATTTGCTTTCTCTCTCTTGCTCAAATATGGCAGAGTTCTTTGAGGTTATATATTGAATATGAGGACTCAGTAAAAATAGGTATTTTTGCAATGATGATAGTGTTCGGTTAGATTTTGAAAGTTCAAACAACAAGCACTCAATCAGTGTTCATGAATAACAGGACACATTCTATCTTTTTTATTGCTCTAGGTGATCTTTATAAGTATCCAAATTTACTAAATGGCATGCAACTTGTGCTTTTCTAGTTAAGACTTCTTTGTATCATTGTTTATGTAAATATTAGTTCAAATGTCCAGGTTCCAGGAGCAGAATCACTTGTTGTGAGAGTTGTATCATCAGTCGAGAAAAAGTTGGATGTTAAGCCGCGCTTCCTTGAAATCTTTCAAGACCAAAGTTATCCATCAGAGTTTCCATATAAATCAAAGGTGAATTGTGAAATAATAATTGATTGGCAGGCTATCAAAATTGGGTTTACTGATTAATGCTTTAATTTAGTTTGTCTAATAAGTTCAACATAAAAGAAGTTACATGTGCGGTAGTTAAAATAATTTTAATTCATGTTTACTATTTATCAGGTGATATTATTGTTCCAAAGAATTGAAGGTGTTGAAGTGTGTTTATTTGGGATGTACGTGCAAGAATATGGATCTGAATGTCAGCAGCCTAACCATCGCAGAGTCTACCTGTCATATCTTGACTCTGTTAAGTATTTCAGGCCAGACATCAAAACCGTAACAGGAGAGGCTCTCAGGACTTTTGTCTACCATGAAATTTTGGCAAGTTTCTGGCTTCATTGTTCTCTAGTGACCACTATCAAGCTGATTATTCATGATAATTACTTTATTTGTTGCCATTACTAATTCTCGTAATGTGATTTATATTTTTTTTCTCCTTTCAGATTGGATACTTGGAGCATTGTAAGATGCGTGGCTTCACTAGCTGTTATATATGGGCTTGCCCTCCTCTGAAGGGTGAAGACTACATTTTATATTGCCATCCAGAAATTCAGAAGACACCAAAATCTGATAAACTCCGGGAATGGTAAGTTTGATGCATGAGTGAATGACAACAAGTGCTAATTGATGCCTCTTTCATTCATAAGTTGATAAAAGAATCATGTCTTCTGTTTTCAGGTATTTGGCAATGCTTCGGAAAGCTACAAAGGAAGATATTGTAGTTGATCTTACTAACCTCTACGAACATTTCTTTGTCACAAATGCTGAATGTAAAGCGAAGGTAACTGCTGCTCGGTTACCTTATTTTGATGGAGATTACTGGCCCGGTGCTGCCGAGGACATTATCTCTCAACTACAACAAGAAGACAATGGGAAAAAACAACCTAAGAAGGGAGGTATAAAAAAGAGTGTTGCGAAAAGAGCATTAAAGGCATCAGGCCAAACTGATCTTTCTTGCAACAAATCGAAAGACCTGATGCTAATGCATAAAGTAATGTTCTTACCGCTTACCAATTTCTTTACAATTTTTACTTCTACACTTATCATGCTTATGTAATATTTAAGTAGCTAGTAGTTATAGCTTTATTTAACTTGTATTTATTATGTTTACCCAAGTAATTATTACAAGTTTGTTTGCAACTTTATTTAAGTGGTACTTAATTTTCTGTTTCTAAAGCTTGGGGAGACGATCTCGCCAATGCGGGAGGATTTCATCATGGTTCACTTACAACATTCATGCTCACACTGCTGCATTCTAATGGTCTCTGGAAAGCATTGGGTTTGCAGGCAGTGCAAAAATTTCCAACTCTGCGACAAGTAAGAAGATTGCAGCCTATGTTTATCCTAGTAGCTTGATACGCCAGCTCTTTTCTTTTTTTTTTTTTTTTTTTTTTTTTTTCTGATGCAAAATAGCAGCGGATTAAATGCATCTATTCTTCGAATTTCAGGTGCTATGGTGATGAGCAATTACGTGATAACAGGGAGAAACATCCTGTCAATCAGAAAGACAGTCATCCACTTTATCCTGTGAGGCTATGCTTACTATGAATGCTCACATAATAGTATCAAGGCTTGTTTTTAATGATTAATTACTTGAAATTATTGAATCTCATAATAGTATTAAGGCTTGTTTTTTTATTATTAATTACTTGAAATTATTGAATCTCATAATAGTATCAAGGCTTGTTTTTTTATTATTAATTACTTGAAATGATTGAATCTCATAATAGTATCAAGGGTTGTGTTTAATGATTAATCAATTAAGTTGAATGTGATATTTTACAAGGAAATTGGAGAAATCGAATAATAAAAAATAAGGGAAATTTTAACATGAACCAACATTATGTAGTCTGATTAATTAAAATGTACTACTGATAATATCACGCATTTAATGTTCGTTTATAATTTAATAGATATCATGAAATACATTCGTAACATCTTGAATTATATGAGTTGTGTAGATAATCGAATTATGCATTAAATATCAAATATACCATATTATTAAAATATTTCGTCTAACATGGATTTTCGTAATATGCTTTTGCTCTTGCATTTTTTTAGTTACATTCTGAAGAACTTCATGAGTTTGTGTGCAGGCGGAGATCACTGGAGTCCCTGATGAAACGAAAGAAAACGAAATCCTTGAGAGTGAATTCTTCGACACGAGGCAGGCATTTCTGAGCCTTTGTCAAGGAAACCATTATCAGTACGATACACTTCGCAGGGCCAAGCATTCGTCTATGATGATTCTTTATCACCTTCACAATCCTACTGCTCCGGCTTTCATTACACAGTGTGCTACATGCCGTATGGATATAGAATCTGGGCAAGGATGGAGATGCGAGACATGTCCTGATTATGATGTTTGCAATGCTTGTTATCAGAAGAACGGAGGAAAAGATCATCCTCACAAATTAACTAATAAAAAATCAAGCGATCACAGCGCGCAGAACCAAGAAGCAAGGCAATTGCGAGTTATACAGGTGACAACTTATGCTTTTACTTTTCTTGTTCAGCTTTCTTGTTTTTATCTTTCTAAAACTTCTTTTTAATTCTAGTTAAAACCAGATAGATTACCTGCAAATAAACTTAGAATAAAAGAAGTTGCTCGTCTATCCCAAAACTATTATGAATTAATGATAAAAGTTGTTTCCAAGTGCTTGAACATCTCGGTGGATGTAACCGAGTCAAGCAAGGCCTATGCTTTTAGTTCATCAAAAAGTCTTCCTTTCTATGTTCTAATTTTAAACCCACAATCTAAAGTTTGTTTAGCTATAATAATATAATAATTATTACTAATCTTTTGTGTTTATATATGTTTTGAATCTGTTTTTGGGATTTTGAGTTGGTTTGTGAATAGTAAAATGCTGAATAAATTTTTTTTTTTGGTCTGATATATAAAAAGATATGAGGTGCAATGTTTTGAACAGAAACTAAGTTTTTGACGTTATATTTTTTAAATGAAAAATAGGGTTTGGATGTGATCTTTTAGAGAGAAATCTTGCTGAATACTGCTAAAATAACTTTGAAAACATAATTCATCAGATGCTTAAAGTGTTTGTTTAGTGTTTATAGTTTTAGGCATTTTGTTGTGAGCATGGTTGTTACGGCATTGCCTAGGCATCCTGGCGGTGCATCAGTACCACCAGGACAGATCGCCTTGCCGTTTGGCGAGGTCGGCATCCAGTCGTCGCCAAGGCGATGCCAAATGGCGACTCGAGTTGGCCCAAACAGTAGGTCAAGAAGACCCAGCCCTAATACGGAATTGAATCTAAACCTAGTTTAGGTATTTTTCTTCCTACCCTACCTGTGTCACTGCGTTCCCTCCTCTACCTTCTCTGCCGCTGCCGGTCGTTTTGTCTCCCTTCCTCGCCGTCGAAGTAAGTTAAGTTACGTTTTGTTTTGTTTTGTTCGTACTGTTAGGTGGTGGAAAGAAATTCTGGTGGAAGAAAGTTGAATTGAATGGATGAGAGTGCCTGACTTGTTAAATAATAATATATTTATATATCTGTGATAGTACCTTTTCTTTTCTTTTGTTTTTTTTTTCTTTTTATGTATTGTATTATTTATATCTTATATCTTAAGTTATTTAATCTATTTTATTTTATTGAGATTATTATTGAAATATTACGTTCTTGATTTTTATATTGTTTATCATATGTATTTATTTTTTCATGATAATATGGTATTTTTTTATTTTTTTAATATATTTTTTTCTATTTTTACTAGTTTTAATTCTATGGCTGAAAACAAAAGTATTCAAGATTTGTCAAAAGATCCGGCAAGAAAAGCTAAATCATCGGATCTGGGATGGAAGTATAGATTTTGGCCGGATTTGACTAATAAAGATTTAATTGAGTGCACTCTTTGCCATAGGCAAATGCATTCGGGAGTTAAAAGACTGAAACAACATCTAGGTGGCAGCTATGGTGATGTTGTCAAACACTATGGAAGAAATTCGCAAGGTGATACATCAATTTATGAGCAAAAAAGTGATGAACAAAACTTCATGAACTACTGAGTTTGATTGTTTTGAGGATAACGAAGCCAATGAAGAATTAGAGGAGGATCAATCTTTGGGTGTTACAAATTCATCATCCCACTCTTTTTTGCATCCGAGTTCAGGAACAAGTAGCAAAAGAAAGTTGGCTCAATTCTGAACCTCCGAGAGTTGGAAAACAAAGTAAGTTAATTCTGCAATGATTCGAAAGACTCTTGAAAAGATTGTTGAAGAAAGACATATGGGGGGTTATGTTCCGAAAACCATCAAAGCTTCCACAAAAGGAAAAGAGGAAACGAGAGAAGTGAAAAGGCGTATTGCCGACTTTTTCTACGAAAATGGCATTCCATTCAATGCTTCCAAATCAATTAGTTACGAGATTATGATTGAGGCTGTTGGACAGTATGGTTCCGGTTTAAAACCTACTAGTTATCATGAGTTGCGGGAACCATATCTCGAGGATGCCATAGATGTAACAAATAAGTTGAAAGAAAGGCACATGGAAGCAGTATAGGTGTTCCCTTATGTCAGATGGGTGGACAGACAAAAGAGGACGACATTTGATAAATTTTCTTGTCAATAGTCCAGAGGGAACTTTTTTCTTGGAATCTATTGATGCATCAGTGGAGTCATATGATGCAAGAATGTTGGTTGACCAATGGAGTCACAGAAAAAAGTTGAAGAAATTGGTAAGGAATATGTTGTGCAAATTGTGATGGATAATGGAGCAAATTATAAAGCAACGGGAAGACTACTAGAACAGTCATTCTTGGTCTTTTTTGGACACTTTGTGCGGCCCATTGTATCGATCTTATGCTAGAAAATATTGGAAAAATTAATGAATTTAAACTCTACATTCAAAAGGCTAGAGATATCACCACGTTCATTTATCGATATGGGAGACTTCTAAGTGCAATGAGGGAAAAGACAGGTGGTAGAGATCTGGTGAGGCCAGCGACTACTCGATTTGCTATTGCATTTCTCATTTTGCAGAGTTTGAACAAACACAGGAATGAAATGAGGCAAGTGAGTGATGATTGGAGTGATAATAAGCTTTCGAAAACGTCAAAAGCAAAAAAGTGATGGAAACCATTCTTTCATCAAAATTTTGGGATCACGTAGAAGATTGTTTCGGGCAACACTTCCTCTTTTGATTGTTTTGAGGATAGTTGATGGTGATGAAAAGCCAGCCATGCCCGAGCTCTTCTCGGCTATGAATCATGCGAAGAAGAAAATAACTTGATCTTTTACTATCAACAACAAAACAATATTGTTGGCCAAGTTGATGGAAATAATTGAGGATCGATAGAGCGATCAAATGGAGGTGAAGTTATATGGGGTTGCACTGTTCTTAAATCCTTCAAAATATTTTGAATTGAAAAGAAGTGATCCCGTATTTGCCCGTAAGCAACGTCAATTGTTTAACGATGTTCTAGAAAAGATGGTTAAGGATGAAGAATTGATGGATAAGATTAGTGGTCAAACAGATGATTACGATAAAATGCGAGGAAGCTTTGGCCGTCAATTGACAATCAAACACCAAATGCAAGAGTCCTCATAAGTTTTTTTTAACGTATATATTTTTTATTTTCTATGAAACTTAATTTCAAATATTGAATATATTTTTTATATATATATTAGTTGATTGGTGGGATGCATATAGTGGTGACAACGAAGAGCTTCGATTATTTGCCTTACGAACTACTAGTTTATGATGCTTTTCTGCCAGTTGTGAACGCAATTGGAGCACATTTGAATTTGTAAGTAAATTCATTCGAAATTTACTTATATTAATATTTTAGTAATAATTTTCAGTTTTTGATATAAAGTTTTTTTTTTTATTTGTTTGTTTTTCTTTTAGATTCATACTAAGAAAAGAAATAGACTAGAGCACAAAAGGCTAAACGATTTGGTGTATGTTCAATATAATCGGAAGATTGCACGGAAGAAGGAAACAATTTTAATCCCTTAGTTCTTGAAGAATTTCAATGGGACAATGAATGGGTTGATGATTCTCAAGATTTGGTTCATGAAGACGGAGATCTTGAATGGCATCATGTTGATGAAGCCGTAGGTGCTTCAAGTAATTTCAATAATTCCAACCTTCGTAGTAGAAGTGTTGGTGAATCCTCAGGTCCACCCGTCGTGTATGATCGTCGCCGTGGCTCTTCTAACAGATGTTTGGTGGATGAGAATGAAGATGATGATATGAACAATGAAGAGGGAAGATTGATGTGAAATTTGAGAAACGGAGGGTTCTTTTTGGTGTTTTGAAAAATTAATATTTTGAACTATTGGTACTTTAGTATTTTGATAGTTATGTTTAATACTTTGAAGTTTTGGTATTTTGATATTTTATTTGAAATATAATGATTTAATGTTATAATTTTATATTGTATAATTAAATATTAGAAACTTATAATAGGTAAGTCGCCGTATGGCCATATTACCGCCATTTCGGGCGCCGTGTCGCCTAGGCGATATGGCAGTCCGACGGCACCGTGCCTAAATCCTAGCCGTAACAACCTTGGTTGTGAGATATGTGAAAGTATTATAGGAAGTGATGTTTTATGTGTTTTTATTGACTTTTGTTGTTATGTATATATATTTTATGTTTTGGGTGATATTTTTGGAAAATCGTGTATGGTGAAAACACTCTTAGTTTTATAACACCTTTTGCCATTGAGATTCTTAAAAATTTAGTAGATAATTTATTTAGGAGTTGTGCTGTTAGATTTTACGATAGACCTCTTTTACTTACTTATATGCTATAATTTTCTTCTTTCTAAAAGTGCAAAATAATGTAATTTATACGATATTTACTCGCGGGCATGCGGAATGACTTACTCTGTTTGAACTTGCAGCTGCGGAAGATGCTGGATCTCTTGGTACATGCTTCTCAGTGCAGGGCATCATTTTGCCCTTACCCAAATTGTCGCAAGGTGAAGGCACTTTTCCGGCATGGTATGGGATGCCAAACCCGTGCTTCTGGAGGTTGTCCTTTGTGCAAGAAAATGTGGTACCTTCTTCAGCTCCATGCCCGAGCATGCAAGGAATCTCGCTGCCTCGTACCTCGTTGCAAGTATGATAAATCATCTCTCACACACACACACACACACGATTCGTTTAAAAAGACAAGTCTTTCCATTTGGGTGTAATTTAACGTTATTTGTGGCACAGGGACTTGAAATTGCACATGAAAAGGCTCCAGCAGCAATGCGAAACGCGACGCCGAGTTGCCGTAACGGAAATGATTAGGCAACGAACTGCCGAGGTTGGGAGAAATTCTTGACCCTTCACTTGTATGTGTATATATATTTATATATTTGTAGATGTAGCGACATTTCAAAAGTTCTGTTCTAGATTGAGCCCGGGGAAACTGTTTAAATTTCGGGAGAGTTACAAATTTTGAATGCATAACTATTATTGTTACTAGTATTATTTTTTAATGCATCTTTTGAACCCAAAATTTTCATTTTTTGTTAGCTACTAGTTTGAAAATGATTTAAATAGTATTTTGATATTATATTTTTATTAAAAAATGGACTAAGTAAACAGTGGTGATTTAAGATTAGAATTACAACAAAACCAGCTAGGTTCTTCAAATTTTATTAATAGAAAAGAGATTAATTATCTATTATTATACTATTTCTTTTGTCTGTATTTATGTTATTTCTTTTTAAAAAAATAATTGTATGTTTTATTTTTATATTTTTAATTTTATAGTTTATAATTAATTTTATTAATACATTTTTTATTTTTTTTTTAAATTTTCTTGTTTACAGTAACAATGAGTGGAACAGAGGGAGTGCTTGCTATTTGTGCATACCGGTTATCAAATTTGTGCATACACGGAGCTTGCCAATTAAGCTTTTAGGCTTTACCTTCCAACAATTTTATTATTTAAATTTGTTTATCAAATATTTTAAGATTTGCTTTATTGTAGTTTGAAATTAATTTAAAGTGAAATATTTATATAAATTATTGTTTAAAAAGTATATTATATTGATATAATATTTTTGTATCAAAGTGAATAATATTAATTTTAATTTGAAATATTAAAAAAGAATCCTTAATTAGGCTTGGATTTGAGGAGAAGTTGAACCACTAAGCCTTCACTATAAGCGTAAACCACGAATTAGGTAGCACCTGATAGAGATGGAGATAGTCACAAAAGTCCACTTACTTACTCCCAAGTTGTGTTGTAACCTCAAAAACAGCGTGCTTATCTATCCCCCACCCAAGGCAAGGCAACCAATCCTTACTTAGGGTAGGGGCACGGCCAATGTAGAAACTTAGATCCCTGTAGCGAAGGAGGCAAGTATGTTTGCTCCGCCGAGTCGGGATTGTCCGGCGGATAAACGTAGCCCTTACCGTACCCGAGTTCCTTCATAACCTTGGTCGGCGCATTCCTCAAATGCAACGGCACCCTCTCGTTCGATCCCTTCACCCTCACCGCTTCCCGAGCACATCCAATCGCCCGATATACAGCCACCGACTTGGGCGCCAACGCCAAATACGCCGCACATTGCGCCAAAACAACGTCGCACTCCGGCATGCCCAGAAAATGGCAAGCTTGGTAGCAAGACACCGCCTGCGACAATGCCTGCGGATCAGCCAGCCCGACGTCCTCGCTCGCGAATCTCACCAAACGTCGCGCTATGTAGAGAGGATCTTCGCCACCTTCCAGCATTCTCGCCAGCCAATAAATCGATGCGTCGGCGTCGCTACCCCTCATAGACTTGTGCAACGCGCTTATCATATTGTAATGCTCGTCGCCGTCACGATCGTACACTAAATGCTTGCACTGCAATGCCTCCTTCACATCATCAACACCAACAACAGCAACAACGCTATCGATGATCGAATTCTGATCGTTCTCGATGCGGCGCCAGACGGCTGTTGTCGCAGCAGCCTCGAGCGCATTGAGGGCGACACGGGCGTCACCGTCGCAGTGCATCGATAGGAACGAAATGGCGGCATCAGGGAAGTTGAATTCGAGGTCGAATTTGAATGTGTTTCTTAAGGTTGGGGATAATCCTTTTTGGGTGTCATTGATGGCTCTGTTGAGGAGAAGTGTTATATGGTTAGGGTTTAAGGGATTTAGGGGAAGGACTCTGCAGCGGGACAGCAATGGCGTGATGAGGTGGAAGGAAGGATTCTCGGTGGTGGCTCCGAGCAAGGTGACGCTGCCGTCTTCGATTATAGGGAGGAGAGAATCCTGCTGAGCTTTGTTGAATCGGTGGACTTCGTCGATGAACAGCAGGGTCCGTTTGTTAGCCCTAATTTTGAATTTTAGGGCTTCTTCCACGGTTTCTCGGATGTCTTTGACGCCGGCGGTGACGGCGGAGAGGGAGACGAAGCGGTAGCAGGCGGCGGAGCGGGCGATTGCTTTGGCTATGGAGGTTTTCCCGGCGCCCGGCGGTCCCCAGAGGACGACGGAGGGGAGGCGGCTGGAGGCGATCGCCGAGCGGAGGAGAGAGGTCGGAGATAGCAAGTGGTCTTGCCCTACCACTTCGTCCAGCACGCGCGGCCGCATTTGCTCGGCCAGCGGCGGTTGATTGGCCGCCGGTGGGTGGTTGGTGTGATTTTCGGAGGATTTCTGCCGCTTTTGGCGTGGATTGAGGTCTTCGTCGGCTTCGGAGGATTGTGATTTCGGAGCCTTTTTTGGGTGGAGATTGAAGAAGCGATCGATTTTGGGTTGAACGATCGGTGGAGACGAAGTGGAGTTGGATTGCCAACTTATTGGCTGAGGATTATCGGCGGTGGTGTGGCTGAGGAGGCAATCGGTGGCTCTGTGGAGGTCGCCGTCGGCGGCGGCGAGGGCTTCGGCGGCCAGGTCGGCGGCGAATCCCATGCTTACGAGCTCTTGAATCTCAGCCTCCATCGCTGCGATGATCCTGACCGTTGATTTTCCACAGTAAATGACTAGGTTTTGTGGAGGGCTTTTTTTCTGCGATTAAAATTTATACTAATTTCATTTTTACTTAAATATATTTATTATATAAAATACTACTCCTATAAATTATATTAGGTGGATACGAAATTTAATAAAAATGAACAATAATAATAATTTTTATTTTAAATATATATTTAATTATAAAATATAAAAAATCTATAATTTTTTGTTATAAAATAAAATAAAAATATTCTTATGATGATAATATAAAAATAATTTAAATAAAGAACGAAAAATTATTTAAAATAATATTTATTTTACTTTTGTTAATATATAGTTTACTAGGATAATTACATTAATTTATTTTTTTGAAATTTTCTACTAAATTTATACATAATTTAATAAATAACATTATTCAAAACTGTATTATTTTTATAAATAATAACAAATTTATTATTATTATATTTTTCCTTCTTACATCCTTATTTTGTTAACTCTTAATGAATTTCTAATAATACTATTCCCTCCGTCCCGAAACTAAATATTTATTTACTTTTTACACGTAGTTTTAGAAATATTAGTATTATATTGAATTATAGTAGAAATAAAATAGAAATGACTAAAATAACCTTATTAGTATGTGTGATATAAAAGTAATAGCATTTGTTTAATATATTGTAAGTTGTAAAGGTATTTGTAATGTTAGATAGATAGTACAATTACTAAAAAAAAAATTGATACTTTGTTATGGTTATGAGACGGACTAAAATAAAAAAATGGATACTTTGTTATGGGACGGAGGGAGTATTATTATTATTTTAATTTTCGTATCCAATTAAAAATGTATAAATATGTCGGAAGATTTTCTACTATTCATTCTTATTTTTTTTATTTAAAAAATAAGATAAATTAAACACATATATTTTTTATATTATATTAAAATTTTAAAATACAAAATTCAAATTCCTAAACTAGCACACCCCACAGGTGTATTTGTTTGGGAGATTGGATTGGATTTATATTATTCATTCAATTTTTTTCTCCAAAAATATCAAATTAAACATTTATTTTAAATTTTTTATATTATATTAAAAATCAATTTTACATTCAAAATATCACGTCAACACCTATTTATATCACATCATACAACTATTTAAATTCAAAATTTTTACTATTCAATTCATAACTCAAAATCTAAACCACAAACAAACAGGAATATTATGCGGAAGACTCCGCTCGAATTTTTGATCTAGTAATATTCGGGAATCCATGGCGGAACTCTGCAGAATCTTGCAGAACCTTTTGAAAGGCTATAGAGCCATGTAGATACTTGTATATAGTGCATTGCATATTCTATATTTTAGAACTAGAGTGAAAGGTAGTTATAAATTTTATTAAATTATTAAAATTAATTGTTGTTATTAAATATATATAAATTTTTAATATGAGAATTATTTGAATAAATTAAAATATTTTATACGATGAATTTTTAGTATTTTAAATATTCTTTTCATTCCGAAACTAAGTATTTATTTGTTTTTTGCACGTAATTTTAGAAATATTAGTATTATTGGAATACAGTAAGAATAAAGTAAAAATGACTAAAATAACCTTATTAGTATGTGTGAAATAAATATAATGACATTTGTGGAATATATTGTAAGTTGTAAGGGTATTTGTAATGTTAGGTAGATAGTACAGTTACTAAAAAAGAAAATTGATACTTTGTTATGAGACGGACTAAAATGGAAAAATGAATACTTTTTTATGAGACGGAGGGAATATTAAAATTAATAGATTTTATCGGTTAAACATATATTGCAAAAATAATGTCTATATATAATTTAGTGGTATCTATTCATATTTTTATAAGTAATTTTGAAAATTATAATTTAGTTAAAAATAATGTCGATAAAAAATTTAAAATATTTGAACAAAACAAAAGTCAAATTTCATTAATTTGTTACTGTAATTTTAGTATAATTAAATTATAAAATACTTTCTCTGATCGAAATAATTATTTCACATTTTTTTATCCGTCAAACTTATGCATAATTTATTTATAATAAAAATTTATCCATTCACAATTTTATTATATTTATTTAAACAAATAATGATCAAATTTGTCACGATTTTTCTACTTACTCCACTATAATATCCTTAATTTATTTTTTTTGTTATTTCACATTTTGCAATAAAAGACAATTACCTAAAAAATTATGCAAATAGAACAATAAAAAATGAGTGTATTATTTAAAGACGTCTATCTAATTAATTAAGAAAATCAAATATAATTTAATTATATATTATACTTTGTGGTGGGATCCACCATCTGAAAATTTTGAAAAAAAAAACAAAAAATAGTATATTTATTGTGAGATCCACGAAGAAAATTTTAAAAATTATGTGTTGCCACATGACAACACAAAATCAAGGGTAAATATATATATATTAGATACTGTATGTAGTCTTTAATTTTATTTTTGTTATTGTGTCATTGAGTTAAAATTATTATGTTAATTTGATGATATATTATTTTTTTGTCTAAAAGTAAATTTTTATTTTGTCATTTTAGTTTATTTATATTAAAAATTTTATTTTATTTTTAGTAAAAATAACTTTTAATTAAAATTCAAAATACTTATACTTTTTATTTTGTATATTCCCTCTGTCCTACAATAATAGAGACATTTGAGATTAGCATGAAAATTAATAAATAATAGTATTATATTGATAGTAGTGTAAAAGTGTTTTTAAAAGACTAAAATGTCACTATTTTATGTAATTATTGTGAAAAAAGTGAGAATAGTTTTATAAAAATGTGAAAAATTTGTAACAAAAAATAGAAATGAGACTATTGTTTTAGAACGAACGAAAATTACAAAATGATATATTATTTTGGGAATAACAAAAATAACAAAATGAAACTATTGTTTTGAGACGAATGAAGTATTACTTTTCAAGAGTAAAATATAGTATATTATAGTATTACTTTAGTACTTTACATATCTATAATAGTAATTTACCTTAGTCCACGTGCAAAAGTTAAATGAAAAGTTTATTAATAATACATTATATTATAATTTTAACATAATAAGTAAATCATGCAGCAACACAAAACAATATATATAATGCATACAATACATATTTCTATATAACATAACATATACTATCAATCTTGTAATGAATGATACGCTAACTTGATTAAATCTATCGCCTACTTAACCCTCAAAGGACTTGTACCTCTCATTTGTAATCATCTGAGGGTGTGTTTGTTTGGAAGATTTACCCCTAATTTTACTATTCATCTAATTTTTTTTCTCAAAAATATCAAATCAAACACCTATTTATCATTTTTTTATATTATACTAAAAATAAGTTTTATATTCAAAAATCACATCAATACCTATTTATATTACATCATACAACTATTCCAATTCAAAATTTTTACTATTCAAATCCCAACTCAAAATTAAAACCCCAAACAAACACATCCGCTTATCCAAATATTTTTAGTTTCCATATATAGTTACTCTTTTTTAGAAAATTATATTTTTTTATTTGTATATATAGTTACATACTCCATTCGTCCCATGAAATTAGTCCAGTTTATTTTGAGCACGCAGTTTAAGAAATATTGTGTTAGGTAGTTAATTAGTTTGATTACTAAATTTAATAAAGTGTTATGTTAAATATTTTTTATTCGATAAAATATTAAATTAAAAGTTAAAATATTTTTTATTTTAATTTTTAAATATTAAATTTTTTATTTACTGATATTATTTTAAAATAATAATAACAATTGTATTTATTATAAATCAACACATGCATTTATATTTAAAAAAAAATAATTTTAATAACTTAAATGTAATTTATACAATAAAAAAATGTAATAAAAAATATTATATAAACAATACATAAATTTTTTTTTTTAAAATTTGGTGGTTATTAAAGATAGTTCGTTATGATATACCAAATTTAATACCACATCGCATACGTATGGTACAAAATTTTTGGTATGATATTTTACCATACCGTACAAATATTTTGATATTTCGAATTTGCGAATAAAAAATACTAAATTACAGAAATAACATGCGTACTCGTAAAAAAAATACCGAAAAAATTTCAAAATTTCGATACGATATGACTTTTTTTGTATGATAACGATATACAGTAAGATATTTTCAGTGTATATAGATAATTTTAAAAAAAATTGTTATTTTTGTATATACTGATTATTTGATTTTTTTTAATAAATTAAAAAATTTGGTACGGTATATAATATATTTTGATATTTTGGTATATTATCTCAAACCATCTCTAACTGAATTGTATATACGGTATTAGAATATAATATTTTATGTCAAATACCGAAATTAAAAATAAGTTTATAATTTTGCATTATAAATAAGTTCTATTTTTTCATTTTTTTTAACCAAAAAAAATCAATATCAAATATATTTTTAATTAATTTTTCAGCCATAAATTTTCAAATCAAACATCAAGACGAATAATGGAGTGTAAGCTAGTGACGCAACTCGGGTTGGAGCGTAAGCTAGTGACGCAACTTCTGTATTTATTATTTGCCTTCATTGCTATTCCTCTAGTAGATATTGACGGTGGTATCTGCTATCAACAACATAATGGAGGCACGACCTCTTGCAGCAAATGCTTGTCAAAAAGCTTTGTAACAAATCGGCTCATGTCACGTCGAGGCATCGCAGAAGAAAAAACAGCAAAATCCGATCCAATCAACCATCGTACTGTAAAAATTGAATAGGTTCGATCTATAGTCATTTGATTAGGATCTCCTAAAACAATCTACTAAATTCATCGAGAAAAGAAAATGGATTCTTAAACCCCCTTCACGCAAAAAGGGATAATTTACACATTAATCGAGCATTTCGAGTCTCAATTAATTGAATCTCCTACTCTAAGTATTATTTCCTGGCAAAGAATTGGAATTGATCGATCGATTTTGCAAAACCTCGGAAATATTCCGCCATTGTTAGAGCAGTCAAACCTTCATTT